CCCCCCATCTCCTACCTACTAGCCTCATCCCACCCCCTTGACCTGTCCGTCCTCCCTGGACCGACCTATCCCCTCCCTAACTCTCCACCTACACTCACCTTTACTGGCTCCATCCCCGCCTCTTTGACCGATCTGTCTCCTCTCCACCTATTTTCTCCTTTATCCGTCTTCTATCCGCCTCCCCCTCTCTCCCTATTTATTTCAGAATCCCCTTCCCCTCCCCCATTTCTGAAGAAGGGTCTAAGCCCGAAACGTCAGCCTTCCTGCTCCTCTGATGCTGCTTGGCCTGCTGTGTTCATCCAGCTCGACACCTTGTTGTCTCATCATTAAAAGACAACTGACTTTGTCTCTCTTGGAACCCTTTAGAAATACCTGACTCTAATTATTAAGAACTAGAAAGCTTATGGGTCAGAACAGACCATTTTTTAAAAAATAGTCCATCCCAATGCTCAAGAAACCCACCAAATTGTTGCTGCACTAGCAGATGAAGAGGTGGTCTTGTGGTTATGTAATTGGGATGGTAAGACAGTGGACCAACCTAATGCCCGAGAGATGTGGGTTCGAATCTCACCCAGGCAGAGGGTGGCATTTTGATTCAATCTGTTGTGGACTGCAGTGGTTCAAGAAGGCAGCTCACCACCACTTTCGAGGGCAATTAAGGACGGGTAATAAATGCTGGCCCAGCCAGCGACACCCACATCCCACAAGTGGGTAATAAAGAGAAACAAAATTAGCAGCATGCATAACTTGGTACTACAAGGAATGGTTGTGGTAAATAACATGGACATATTTAAGGGGAAGTTAAATAAACTGACGAGGGGCAAGTGGATAGAAGGCAGCTCCTTGGTAACACAGAACATTTGAGGATACAGATTAGGAGCAAGAGTAGGCCACTCAGCTCCTCTAACTTGCTCTGCTATTCAATAAGATCATGGCCAATTATTCCCGATAACCTCTCACCCCTTTGCATATCAAGGATCTCTCTCTCTCCCCACCTTGAAAATGTTCAAGATCTCTGGACCCACCACTGCTTGAGGAAGAGAAAGTCCAGAAATTCACAATCCTCAGAGAAAACAAAATTCTCATCTCTGGGCAATCCCTTATTTTAAAACCATGATCCCTAGTTCTAGATTCTCCCTGGATCCTAGATTCCAGATCCTTTCCATATGCACCTTGCCCAGACACTTCCTGATATGTATATGTTCCGGTTCTTAAATAACCAGAGGTCAGTTGGTCTGTATATCCTATAAAACGCTCTGGGCTATGGGAGACAGTTGTATAATGGGGATTATCTAGCTCCTGGGTTGAATGGAATTATGCAAGGAGATTGGAGAAGAATTTTGCAGGGATTCTGTTCCGCCCAATCGCTCAGTGTTTACTCTCTCTGCTCTTAACCTCTTGCAAGAGGTTACACAGCCAGTGGGAATGGAGGGAAGTGTCTGTGATCTCACAGAATGCTCTAGCTATTCTGCAGCATAGGGATCAGCAGGTACTGTTACTCAGCACTTTACATTGGGATGAGTAATAGATTGTTCTAACCAAGAGCTGCCAACAATCCAATGGGCTGAGTGGCCTTGTTTGGCTTAGGGGAGCTATCATCCACGGTGCTGTGCCCAGGCTGGGGTGGGGAGGGTTGGGGAGATGGTTACATCAGCTACAACCATCTGCATTTGTATAGTGTCTTTG